ACTCTATATTTACTGTAAGTTTTGTTGGTTTTACTGTTCTCTTGTATTTTGAACAATTGCTGCCTGAAATGACAATGCCGCAGGCATTGTCTTAATATGTTGCCTAAATTACGCTGAGCTGATTAATCCTTCCAACGATCCAGCAAAACTGAATTGAATGCATTTTCAATGTTTTATTTCCTGTTGATTTATCAGCAGCCTCCTCCACAAATGTCCAAATTGATTTCCCGTTAAAAGTGATGATTTTTCCCAATTTAACCCATATACAATCACAGCAGGATTGCCGGGGCATAATTCACGCAAATCCCTATATGTTTTCCAAAGGAACACAGAGAGCCGGTAAATCGAAATGCGTCGAGTTAGATGAAATCAGCACAGTGGCAAATTAAAAACCCTACACAACCGAAAATGGAAATAGCTGCAACGCGAATTTTCAAAAGAATGGCCTTTTCTGAATCAAAAATGTACAAAGGCTCAAAGGCTCTTTACCTGTATTTACTCTGCGGATTAAAACTATTGTGAGCGGCTCTAAATGATTAACATCGGATATGATAAATATGCCATTGGCATGCGAGGCTTTCAACCCTTTTCGGATACATTTTATGTTAACAGAGACCAGTGAAGGCTACCGCTGACTGAGTCCAGGGGCTTGAGCCCTTCCGCCTCAAATTGACAGAGGATTTATGGCCTTCTTACGTGACAACGTGAACTTATTTGTGCATTTGTTAGTTTAATTGCTGCTTTAACTCAGGAAATGTATTCGCTTTTTATTTCTCGCCTCATTTAACCACTTATTGCCAACCCAAAAAGTTTGCCCTTTTCCTACAGGACTGGAAATTTATTGAAATTTTGCAAGCTTAATCGCTTCATAGTCGGTCGAAATTGCGCTGATAAATTTGCTTTAGTTTGGGCGATATGAAGTTTTAAACATGAGACTATTTGCTGAATTACGCCGAGATTTCGCAAAATTTCAGAAAGCTCACCAACACTACGAACGGATTCAAGTTTTGTACATCCACTAATTGAGACTTTAAAAATACCCAAAATTTGATCAATTTTCTAAATTTTTCAAAAAATTCCGGACACTGAACTAAAACTGTGATTCTATTAAACTTTTGTACGCTTAATAAAAAAGGCTTCCTCTATAAACAGCCGAACTTACAGCCTTAAATATTTTTCAGCTTTTGAGATTTCAATTTTTCAAAATTTAACATGTTCAAAACACTCCATTAAAGCGCGGCATTAAACCACAAACTTGCAGATTTTGTGGTTCCTGTTTAAAATTCTGAAAACTGCCAGAAACTTTCCCAGCTTTTTGTATATACTGAAATTTTCTGAACCTGATAACCACGGCTTCTTTTGCGTCGTTTGGGCACATTTGAGTCAATTTTCTAAATTACATCGAACCTTTAAGAAATTCCAGAAACCTCACTAGTTCTCCAACTGAGGAAAATTGCAGAAAAACATTTTTTAAACTCTCTCAGAAGACGTTTGAGCCCATTTTCCTGGTGTCCCTTGGCTTCTGGTACATTTGGCACCATTCTAACCAACATGAAAGCTAGAGAATGTTGAAGATCTTGATAAATCTGCCCAATTCCTTCAAGAAGCTGCCAGGTGGGATGCAGTCGAACGTCGAAATCGGTCCTGAAATGTACTGCCGGAATATGCAAATTCCGTATCACTTTCAGCTCAAAGGCTAATCACAAAATCGATACCGGATTTGCCGGATTCACATGGGGACTGTCTTGTGGAAATCGGGAAATTACATAAATGAGCCAAATGCAGACGGGAAAAAATGGCGGAAACCCGCATCATAAAATAAGCCAAAAAATGCACAATTTATTGACAAAATTGGTGGCTTCGAATCTCCAAAGTAGCAAAAAAGCATGAAAATTAATTGTTCAATAGGAAAAGCGAGGATGAAGTTAAGTACACGAATTCTGGCCCGTTTAAATCAGATATGGGAAAACGTGAAGCATACAAGTTCCTTAAGGTTGGGGCGGTAGTTTTTCTCTCGAATTAAGATTTTGATGGAATGTTTTCCCCATTGAGGAAACTTTCGCATTCTTCCACAGCCCCTGAACGTTTGAGCAAAATGCTCGAATAATGCACAATTTGAAGAAAATCAATTGGAATCGTCGATATTTATTCTTTGTTTGGAGGCGGTAGGCAAACACTCCAGAACAAAGTAGAGCGTGGCTTATCGACGTTCGGGCTTATATTAAATTCACAGAATATGCTAAATCCGGATAAATACGCTTTGCTTTTGTTCAGTACGTGTTTTGTTTAGTTTCCGCGCCTTTGAATACTCACTAACGCGATTTGTTTTCTAGCGCAATTCCCATTAAATAAACGACAGACGAAAAAATTGAATTTTTGGTTTTCAATCGAAATAATTCGGTTTTAAAGCGGTTCAGCGAATAAAGCCAGCAGCAGCGCAAATTTACGGGTTGAGTAGATTTAAAAATGCAATTTTTATCAGAATTGGTCTTGTTTGCGCCATTCGCAGGCAAATCACGCTTGGAAAAGTGCAAGTTCTATTAGAGAACTTATTTTCCAACATGCTCAATCATTTACCAGCTTTTGGGCTAACAGTCAAACAGTCTAGTGGGCGAATACTATTAAAATTCAGGTCGAGCACATTCATAGCTGGAAAAGACTATTTCTCTTTAGAAAAATATAGCGTGGCTTGCAGCATATTTGAACTCGGCAGGAATTCATATTCACGTTGCATGCTACATACACAATGCATTTTCCAAGAAAAATTTCAAAGCGCCGGTTTTCCCACCATTGGGGCTTTATGACCCAAAAAAATCCTTCCCTCCTTTACTGTTATGGCCCCGTTTGCATGAAGGAGTTTACGATATTTCCATGGACAAACCGAAGCAATTAAGGGACCATTCGTGCCCCCCAAGCCCATCCAAAGCTCCAATCTACGAGTTATTCTGATTTTTTTGCGCATTCTCTTAAATAAACAGATTTTCCCACAGTTAATGGAAAAGTCAAATTTCTCAGTGCCGAATGGCGCAAGCAAAAGGCGGATTATTTGCTGTATTCGTTTCAATGGCCTGAATATGCTCAATTAGTAATTGAGCAGCGGCTTTACGTACAATCTACAGCTCGACAGGCCTTTGGGGATGCCAACCTGGTTTTTCAAGGTGAACCAAATATAAATTCCGATGAATAGTGCATGTAACGAACGCTTTTAAAGGCTCCTCCTGAAGGACATCTTTTTACCCGGAAGGAATAACGCGTCTGGAATCGTTATTTTCCTTGAAATCGACGGCAATTTTCAAAGCAACTGCTCTTTTCAAATTGCAGTTCTTTAATGCACTCGGTTATTGACCGAGTTTTTTGGACAACTTTCTTTTTATATAAACTAATAAGTGCACGTACTTTAAAGGGCGAAACTATCCGGATAATAATTCGATAAGACTTCAAAAAGAACTTTGAAAATCACTCAAACCGGCAATGAGATTCAGCCATATTTCAATGTATTTTTATTTAAACTGTGATCAGCTTTCGCGATATAACAGCCAATTTATTTCGCTACATTTCCTACTTACGAGCGGAATCCCGGAATTTACGATCGAAATTTAATATGATTTAAATGCCTTTAAGGAATAGCTCTGCTACTGCTTTTCTTCTATTTTTGTCAATTCATTTCTCCCGAAATTTATTCAATAATTCAGCAGCGTCCCAATAATCGCAAGTAATAGCTCTTGCCGCACCTTTGCCGGATTTAAGATATTCCTAAGGAAATTTCCCGGTTTTACTCGAACACGCCCAGCTTATCCCGTTGAAATCAACTTAAAACACAATAATGCAAAAAATCCCTTGCCATTCGAACAGTGTCTCACTTGTGCAAGTAAAATCATGGCTGTAGAGTTCTCAAAGTATCTTATTTGTAAACATTGGGCCAAAAGGCACTCATGTCAGCTTAGCTGCATGTGTGCAAGTTGCAAACTAGTTTGCAATGTAAATTACGTCACGCTTGATTTAATTTTCCATTAAAACATTAATGCTGTTCGCATTGTGAAACAGATCCTATTTCCGTTAAGTTAGCTGGCTTGCTGTATTAAGCGATTGCACCTTCGATACTAATGGATAATGGAACTAACATTCTCCTTGCCTATAGAATTCTATCTACTTCAAGTTCACGGCATTTATCACGCCAAATAAATTCGGTGAATTCTGCTGAAAATAACATGAACTTCCTCAAATGTACACATTTTCTTGGTTGTTAATCGCATTAAAACGGTCACGTCCTTCCGTTACGTTTGTGCTAGAA